ACTCATACACACACACACACACACACTCATACACACACACACTCACACACACACACACACACACACACAAACACATTCACACACACACTCACACACACAAACACACACACACACACAGCAGAAACATGTGCTGCTGACAGCTGCGCATCCATCGCAGGATGCAAAGAAATATGTGCAGAATTAAACCCGTTTGATGTTTAAGAGCATTAGTATGTTTTTCATTGTGGCATGATTGTCATGACAGCTGGACAACACATGGAGCTGTGTGCCAGTGTTATTTTAGCATTATTTAAACTAGTATTATTTATATAAAACATTTAATAATATTTTTAATATTTGTTTTTATTTTTATTTCATATTTTCAGTTTTAGTAATTTTGTTAAGTGCTTTTATCATTTTTATTAGTTTGTATGTTACTATTTTAAGAATTTATCTTAATTTATTTTAGTTTTATTTTATTTGTTTTAATTTTTATTCATTTCTATTTAGTCATTTTAGTGCTTCAACTTAATTATTTCAAGGCAATGTTTTCAATTTTTATTTAGTTTACTTATGTATTAATAATATTTAGTGCTGTCAAACGATTAATCCAAAATAAAAGTTTTTGTTTACATAGTATATGAGTGTGTACTGTGTATATTTATTATGTATAGATAAATACACACACATGCATGTATATATTTCAGAAAAATATGCTATTTTTATATATTAAATATATTTATAATATAAATTATATGAATATAAATATAGACATGTAAATACATGTAAATATTTTCAAATATATAATACACACACATACGGTATATATTTTGAAAATATTTACATGTGTATATTTATATTCATATAATTTATTTATTTAATATATAAACATAATGTATTTTTCTTAATGTATACATGCATATGTGTGTATAATTAATATACACAGTACACACACATATATTATGTAAACAAAAACTTTTATTTTGGATTATCGCTATTGCCCAGCACTAATAATTAATCGTTGCCCAGCACTAATAATATTTAAAAATATTTATTGATTTTTGTGTTTGCTTTGTTTTCAACTTTATTTCAGTTGACAGAAAGGTTAGTGATGGTTATAGTTTCAGCTCCAGTAATGTGTGTTTGTACTGGTGTTTTTCTGTGTGAAGCCGGATCTTCTCCGTGTTCTGTGACGGTGAAGACGAACACGCTGAGCAGTAGCATCACAAACACGTATTACCCAGGTAACACACACTCCACACGCGTGTGCATGCGGCAGAAACACGCTGCGCCTCTGAGCTCACGCTCCTCCTCAGAGTTTCCGTCTTTTCTCAGAATTTGCTCAAAATAAAACAAGTTTATGATTAAAACGTGAACAAACGTCTGCCGATGGGGTCAGAAAAATAAACATGTTTTCTCTTTGAATTAAGTTTATTTTTCTGACCCCACCGGTAAACATTTTGCATCTCCGGTAAATGTAACCCTAACGTTGTACATTTTATTAAAATCAAAATATTTGATTAAAAACAAATGTAATTGTTTATTTGTAAAATGACAACAGCACAAATGCATCCCAGATTAACTCTGGTAGTTAGTTAATATTTGCTAGCTCAAGAATCAAGTATTTTTATTTTATTTTTTTTCCACAGCTACTGTTTCTGATTTTTTCCCCACAGTTTGTTTATAAAAAAAAGATTAAAAACAAGCAGCTTTGTTATACTTATGGCAGAAATTATTTTATGACCTCCATAAGACCCAATAATAACTTAAAATAATATTTGCTAGCATTACCTAGCATACCCAGAAAGATGAAGAATTTGAATGGGATATTTTTTATGACATCCATGAGACTCTATTATGACTCATTATTATTATTATTATTATTATTATTATTAATCACAAATATAAAATTTGAATAAATGTATTAATAAAGTAAAATAATAAATTAATAATGTAATAATATTTTAACATATTTCAATATGTTAATTATTTAATATTATTAGATTTT